GCATGGAGTCCGCACTAGCGGACATTTAAAAATGGCGGCGCCCGGCTTTATGCAAATGAAGCCTGGGAAATTCAAATCCCGGGCTTCATTTGCAACTCCGGTTGCCTACATTACCACCCTAGTTCAAACTAGGGTGGTAGTGTAGACATACCCATAAAGATTTGTTGAATTGAATGACACATCAAAGACTCTTGATTTCTCCAAACACCTGACTTATCTGGTTGCCACTGGGTATCATGAAATCCCAACAATGGTAAAAGTGTTCATGAAATTTTACTTGAAAATGTTTACCACCTGAAGCCAAGCACTATCATATGCCCACAATATTTCACCTTTCTATTAATTTCTACACAATGATTCTTTTATCTTTGTTTCTAATGTCCTGCTCCTTAAAAACTTGAATAGAAGTAGACATGATATAGAACACCTTTTCATCAGGCCTTGGTGACTTGGAGATATCTAACTTTTCTAAGTGACTTTGAACTTGTTATTTTTTTCATTTTAACTTCTAAACCTACCCCACTTCCACTAATATTCACTATGTTAGGCATCCCATCACCATCCAATTTCTTGATGAAAACTGAAATAAGGAAGTCATTAAGCACCTCTGCCATTTCCAAGTTTCCTGTTATTGTTTCTTCCTCTTCACTGAGCAATGGGCCTATCCAGTTCTTGGTCTTCCTCTCTATGTCAGATAAAAATATATCAGAAGGACAGAAGGACAGAACAATGGTGGGGGGAATGGCAATATAGGTGAAAGAACACTTAGACTCAAATGAATTAAAAAATCTTAAATTAATCAAACTGTTCCATGGAATCACTATGGATAGTAATTCCATGCTCTAATAAGAATATAACAGTAGTGATATATTACCAACCACCTGACCAGGATAATGATAGTGACTATGAAATTTGAAGGGAGATTAGAAAGGTTATAAAAATAAAAAGCTCAATAATAATGGGAGAATTCAACTATCCACATGTTGACTGGGTACATGTGTAAAGTCTTGACACCTTAAATGACTGCTTCTTGGAGCAGCTGGTTCTAGAACCCACAAGAGGAGTGACAATTCTTGATTTAGTCCTAGGATCTGGTCAAAGGGGTGACTATAGCTGGACTGCTTTGAAGCAGTGATCACAATATAATAAAATGTAACATCCCAGTGTTGAGGAAAATACAACAGCCCAACATATGGCATTTAATTTCAGAAAGGGGCACTACACGAAAATAAGGTTAGTTAAACAAAAATAAAAGGTACAAGTGCTAAAAGTAAAATCCCTGCAAGCTGCATGGAAACCATTCAAACACACCATAATAGAGGCTCAACTTATATGTATATACCCCAAATTCAAAAACATTGTAAGAGAACTGAAAAGGTGTCACAGTGGCTTAACAAACAAGTAAAAGAAGCAGAGAGAGCATAATTTAAAAGTGGAAGTTAAATCCTAGTGCGGAAAATAGAAAGGAACATAAACTCTGTCAAATTAAGTGGTATTAGGAAACCATTATACTCTTCTTGATACAGGAGATAAGAATTCACCTCTTACAGCAGAGAAGGAGAAGCCTCGTACCCCCAACTCTGGGAGGTCTGCTGCCACCACCGCGAGGAGGAAACATAGGATAGTGGTGGTCGGAGACTCTTTTCTGAAGGGGATGCAGGTGCTCACCTGTTGTCCTGACATGTCATCTTGGGAGGTATGCTCCCTGCCAGGGGCCCATATCCGAGACATTACGGAGGTATTGTCAGATTGAGAATTACTTATCCCTCTGATTACTACCCCATGCTACTTATCCATGTGGGCACTAATGATACTGCAAGGTGAGCGGATACTGAGCAGATCAAGTGTGACTACAGGGCTCTGGGAGTACGGATGAAGGAGTTTGGAGTGCAGGTGGTATTCTTCCTGTCAAAGGTAGGGGCCCAGACAGAGACAGGTACATCCTGGAGGTGAATGCCTGGCTGTGAAGATGGGGTTGCCAGGAGGGCTTTGGCTTTCTTGACCACAGGATGCTATTCCAGGAAGAACTGCTAAGCAGGGATGGAGTTCACCTTTTGAAGAAGGGGAAGATCGTATTTGGATACAGACTGGCTAACTTAGTGAGGAGGGCTTTAAACTAGGTTCGATGGGGACAGGTGACCAAAGCCCACAGGTAAGTGAAGAACATGAAGACCTGGGAGATGGGTCGGAAATGGGAGGGAGTGTGGGCTATAATATCAGAGAAAAAGGAAGGACCAGGCAGAACTGGGAGGCAAAATCAAATCAGTATCTTAGATACCTATATATAAATGCAAGAAGTATGGGTAATAAGTAGGAAGAACTTGAAGTGCTAGTAAATAAACACAAATATGACATCATTGGTATCACAGAGACTTGGTGGGATAATACACATGATTGACACAATTAGAATATTGGTATAGAAGTGTACAGCTTGCTCAGGAAGGACAGGCAGGGAAAAAAGGGAAGAGGAGTTGCCTTATATATTAAAAATGTATACATTTGGACTGAGATGGAGATGGACATAGACATAGGAGACAGACATGTTGAGAATCTCTGGATTACGCTAAAAGGGGTAAAAACAAGGGTGATGTCATGCTAGGGGTCTACTACTCAGGTGGAAGAGGTGGATGAGGCTTTTTTTAAACAACAAACAAAATCATCCAAAGTGCAGGATTTGGTGGGCATGAGGGACTTCAACTATCCAGACATATGTTGGGAAACTAAATACCCGGGGCTTTATTTGCATGTTTATTTGTCCTCATTGCAGGAGGAGTAACGGTAGTTCGAATTAGGAGCTTTAATTCGAACTACCTACTCCGTGCCGTGTGATGTCTGCAAGGGCCTGATTAAATACATCCTAGAATACTCAAGGAGCTGATAGAGAAGGTATCTGAGCCTTTAGATATCATCTTTGGGAAATCATGGACAAGAGGAAAGATTCCAGAAGATTGGAAAAGGGCAAATATGGTGCCCATCTATAAAAAGGGAAACAAGAACAAGCCAGGAAACTAAAGACCAGTCAGTTTAACTTCTGTGCCAGGAAAGATAATGGAGCAAGTAATTAAGGAAATCGTCTGCAAACACCTGGAAGATAATAAGATGATAGGGAACAGCCAGCATGGATTTGTAAAGAACAAATCATGTCAAACCAATCTGAGAGTTTTCTTTGATAGGATAACAAATCTTGTGTATAAGGGAGAAGCAGTGGACATCTTATACCTAGACTTTAGTAAGGCATTTGATACGGTCTTGCATGATATTATTATCAATAAACTAGGCAAATACAATCAAGATGGGGCTACTATAGTAAACTTCCGATAATCCAGCACCTTTAGGACCTAGGGGGTGCCCAATTATCAGATATGCCGGACTATCAGAAGGGGGGGCTATAAGGGGTCTGGAGTGGGGTGGGAGGGTATGCCACCCCAGACCCCTCATAGCCCCCCCTTATGATAGTCAGGCTCTGCCCCAGGAGTCCCTGATTCAGCCGCTGCTGGTCAGTTTGAGCAGCAGCTGAATCGGGGATGCCTGCAATAGAGCAGCTGGGGTGCTGCCAGGTTGGTCCCATAGTGCTGCCCCTCGGGGCTGCGGGACCAACCCGGCAGCACCCCAGCTGTCCCCATTCAGATGCTGCTGAAACCGACCAGTGGCTGGCTCCCCCAAGTAAAATTGGGTTTAAAAATGAGTGCTTACCAAAATCTATTGTGAAGTATAGTGAAACCCTCACATGAATGCCCAAGAATAAAAGAAACTCTTCTAAAGACATAAAGATAACCTGCACAGTGAAAAGGGGTTTTGTGCCTCTCTGTTTATTAATGCTATACTAAAAAGGCATGAAAGTCTTTAACTCACAAAGGGAGAGGTTTTTTGGGTTGTGTCTTGTTTTTTTTCCTGCTAGTTTGTTTCTTGTCCACAGGCATCCGCTTCCTCCTTGCCCCAGGGGTGCTCAACCCCTGCCACATCCCAGGTCCCACCCCTATTCCATCCCTTTCCCCAAGCCTCTATCTCACCCCACCTCTTCCCACCCTGTTCTGCCTTCTACCCTGAGCACACCTGGTCCCCTCTCCTCCCCCTCCCACCAGTGTTTCCTGCATACTCTTGAAGGCTAAGATCATGTGTAATGTCTGTTCTTATCAATTTAATATCTGATACATTCTCTATGGGTAAGTCTACATTGCAAAGTTAATTCAAAATAGCAGCCGTTATTTCAAATTAACTTCAATAGCGTCTATACATGCAAACCACTATTTTGAATTTAATTCAAAATAGCGGAGCGCTTAATTCAAATTTGGTAAACCTCATTCTACGAGGAGTAACGCCAAATTCGAAATAGCTATTTTGATTTAAGTGCTGTGTAGACACTTAATTCGAAATAGGAGGCCTCCAGCCCTTCCCAGGGAGCCCTGGTGGCCACTCTGGGCACAACCAGGAAAACTTACTCTCCTCTCCCCAGCCCTGGAGCCATTCAAGGGATAGACTCTGACCACAGTGCCTGTGCCAGCTCCAAGCCTGCCAGCCCAGAGCCAGCAGTCGCTGCACCTGACCCAGTGACTCCAGCATGAGCCAGGCAGCCAGTGCCAGCCAGCCCTCCACCGCTCCCCAGGACCAGTCTGCCAGCCCCCAGAAGCCTGCCAGGGGCTAGAAAAGGCAGGTGCCTGCCTGGTCCAGTGAGGAGATCAGAGACCTAATTCAGATTTGGGGGGATGCCTCCAACGTCCATGATCTCTGAACTAAATGGAGAAACACAACCATATACAGGCGGATAGCTGCCAGCCTGGCCACCAAAGGCCACATGCAAACCCAGGAGCAGGTGCCAGCCCCCAGAAGCCTGCCAGGGGCTAGAAAAGGCAGGTGCCTGCCTGGTCCAGTGAGGAGATCAGAGACCTAATTCAGATTTGGGGGGATGCCTCCAACGTCCATGATCTCTGAACTAAATGGAGAAACACAACCATATACAGGCGGATAGCTGCCAGCCTGGCCACCAAAGGCCACATGCAAACCCAGGAGCAGGTTTGCATGAAAATAAAGGAGGTGTGGCAGGCGTATGCCAGAGCCACAGGGGGCAGCTCCTGACCAGGGACAGACCCAGACCTCTGCCCCTATTTTGATGCTGTGGACCACATCTTGGGGGGCAGGACGGTCCGTGCCCTCCAGGTGGTCATCGACCCTGGGGCAGAGTTTGCTGCCTCCTGCTGCTCCAGCCCCTGCTGCCTCCCCAGCTACCGCTCCTCCTTCCACTCCCAGAAGGACTACTGCTGAAAGGGATTTAGGGGTCATAGTGGACCACAAGCTAAATATGAGTCAACAGTGTGATGCTGTTGCAAAAAAAGCAAACAAGATTCTGGGATGAATTAACAAGTGTGTTGTGAGCAATACACGAGAAGTCATTCTTTCTCTCTACTCTGCGCTGATTAGAGCCTTAGTTGGAGTATCATTTCAAGAAAGATGTGGAGAAACTGGAGAAGGTTCAGAGAAGAGCAACAAGAATGATGAAAAGTCTAGAGAACATGACCTATGAAGGAAGACTGAAAGAATTGGGCTTGTTTAGTTTGGAAAGCAGAAGACTGAGAGGGGTCATGGTAGTAGTTTTCAGGTATCTAAAAGAGTGTCACAAGGAGGAGGGAGAAAAATTGTTCTCTTTAGCCTCTGAAGATAGGACAAGAAGCAATAGGCTTAAACTGCAGCAAGGGAGGTTTAGGTTGGACATTGGGAAAAACTTCCTAACTGTCAGGCTGGTTAAACACTGGAATAAGTTGCCTAGGGAGGTTGTGGAATTTCCATCTCTGGAGATATTTAAGAGCAGGTTAGACAGACATCTATCACGGATGGACTAGATGGTACTGGGTCCTGCTGTGAGGTCAGGGGACTGAACTCGATGACCTCTTGAAGGTCCCTTCCAGTTCTAGTGTTCTATAATTCTGTAAGTGCACAAATATAATAAGAAAAGCCAAAAAGGAATTTGAAGAACAACTAGCCAAAAACTTAAAAAGTAATAGAAAATGATTTTAGTACATCAGACGCAGGAAGCCTGCTCAATAATCAGTGGGGCCACTACATGACCAAGATGTTAAAGAGCACTGAAAAATGATAATATTATTATGGAGAAACTAATTGAATTCTTTGCTTCTGTCCTCTTAGCTGAGGATCCTAAGGAGATTCCCAACCCTGAGGCATTCTTCTTAAATGAGAAATCTGAGAAACTGTCTAGGGATGTCAATATGTAGGGTGTCTCTAGACTACACCTCTCTGTCAACAGAGAGATGTAGATTAGGCACATCAAAATTGCTAATGAAGCAGGGATTTAAATATCCTGTGCTTCATTAGCATAAACATGGCCACTGCTTTTTTTTGAAACAGCGTTTTTTCGAAAATAAATGGCAGGCTAGATGTGGATCTGCCAAAAATTAAGCCTTTTTCGACAGATCCTGTATTCCTCAAAAAATGAGGTTTACAGGATCTGTTGAAAAAGGCTTTATTTTCGACAGATCCATGTCTAGACTGATGGGGGTTTTTTCAAAAAAACTCCATTTCGAAAAAAGCAGTGGCCATGTTTATGTTAACGAGGCACAGAATATTTAAATCCCCACTTCATTAGCAATGTCGATGTGCCTAATCTACATCTCTCTGTTGATAGAGATGTGTAGTCTAGACACACCCTAGATGACTACACAATTATCTGATAAGCCTAGCTTATTGGTTAATCCTGTCAACTGCACACACTCCACACATACCCACTTTGCTGCCTCTGTATCAGTGACAGCAAGGGGGTGGGATGGAAGGCAGGAGCTGGTGCCCGTGAGAAGCTGGTTCCCCATGAGCACTGGATCCTGTGAAGCCACCTGTGTTCCTGTGCTGTTGTCTGTGATAGAGACATCAGTACGGAAGGTTAGGGGAGGTGGGGGGGAGCCACTACACATGCGGAGGATATGTTAAAGGTCTATAAAATTATGACTGGTATGGAGAAAGTAAATAAAGGAAAGTTATTTACTTGTTTCCATAACGTAAGAACTAAAGGTCACCAAATAAAATTAATAGGTAACAGGTTTAAAACAAACAAAAGGAAGTATTTTGTCATATAATGCACAACCAGTGGAACTTCTTGCCAGAGGATGTTGTGAAGACCAAGACTTTAACAAGGTTCAGAAAAGAACTAGTAAATTCATATTTACCAGGATGGGTAGGAATGGTGTCCCTTGCCTCTACGTTTGTCAGAAGCTGGGAATGACAGCTTGATGATTACCTGTTTAGTCACTGCTGGAGGACAGGATACTGGATTAGATAGACCTTTGGTCTGACCCAGTATGGCTGTTCTTATGTTCCTATGGCTAAATCTATGCTGACTTCTGCTGCATAATTTGGGGTTCCAAGACCTCAGCATCAGGATTTTGTCAGAGTAGATTGTAGAAATACAAAATGTGTCTAGTCCCAGCTTTCCACTAGACTGGCTCAGACTGAACAGTACAGCCACAGAACTGAATAATATTGCACAAGGAAATATTGTGGCCAAGACCCCTGGGAAAGGTGTAGATCAGCACATCTGCCAGGGAGAGTGTCTCAAAACATTCTTGCTCAAGAGAGTTTAAGTCCTAACACCAGGCACATTACTTCTGCAAATGCACTAACTCCATTGGTCCTACCTGTTCCAAGGTCAATCTTGACCCTGAATCTCCAACATGATGATATGATACATTACTGCCATGTCCTGATCTGGCAAGACCCTTCCTTCTCTTGTCAAATATTGGATAAAATGATTGGATGAACAATGCATTTGATGAATAATGCACTACTATTTGAAGAATAAAATATTCAGTGGATAGTGTTTGAATAGCTTTAGAGTTCCCTGAACAACCCCCAAGTCACTTTTTACATAACATATTTGATGAACAGCACAATTGGTAGAATACATTTGGTGAATAATCTTCAACAAGCTCTTTTCTTTTCTTCTTGCTAACATTCCCCATGTAGTTCTATGCTCTGTGGTGTATAGGGAAACAAAAATAATTCAGTTGTACACATGACTGACTGGCTGAGAAAGTGAGAAATTTAACAGAGTCCCAGGAAGAAAATGTATTTTATATTTCCTCATCCCCTTACATACTGACTGCTGCTCAAATTCATTTCCAGCAGATTAATACTCCTGATACTTTTAACATGTTTAGAACTAGACATGAATTGATGGTGCAGTTCTACTATTTTAAACTCCTACTGAGTTTTGTAAGGCTCAGCACTATTAGTACTTCTTACTCATACACTACATGAGTGTATATGTAGAAAACACATGGTTTCTCTTTAATCCAAACCATGTAATAGATAATTACTTTGTTACGTGTTCAAGACTTTCTCAAGTAACCATAACAGAGAAAAACAATGGGCCCCATTCTCTCTTGCACTACATCTTGAGTTGTTATTTTCATAAGTGCAAGGTAGTATAAAAGATCTATTTTGTACTCATGTAAATGACTGCACAAATTGCCCGTTCATGACGACACAGGCCCAAAATCTTTTGGAATGTAATGACAGGTGCTAGAACAATGTGGATAGTGGAGGTGCTGAGAGCTGTTGAAGCAAACTGCAAACCTAATATATGATGGAAACCACTTTAAGCCAAGGTTGTGGCAGCACCCACAGCACCCATAGTTTCAGCATCTACATATACAACGCTGGACCTAATGATTAAAAAACAAACGTGGATCCCCCACCCCAGCAGAATTAAAAGAATTTCTCATGATATAATGTCATGCTTATTTCCTTGAACCCTTTTTCCTTCCATCAACTTCCTTAGTTTGTTATCTGTGTTTCTTATTTAGATTGTATCACACTGTAAATGTGTTGCAAAATGATGGTTTGATAAATATTTATTAATATGAATGGTAATAAGAAAGTATGAAATATAATTTCCTTATACTTAATTAATTTTAATGGGGGAAGGAGAATTTTTTTCAAGGGAGTAGGCACAGTGAGGGGGAGACACTGAACAATTGGAGTTAGTTGGGATTTACAGTGGATTTTCCAGTGAGACAATCAGAACTTGCAGTGACAGGATGATCATATTTTACTAAAGCCACCACCACTTAATTATACTTTCTGCAATTATGATTATGTGTGTATCTTGGGCTAGTGAACTCCTTGGCCCTTAAAGTCATATTTGTTTAGCCTACAACATTGCTATTAACTTGTAAAACAAAAGGACCCTCAAAATGTCATTTAAATAACCATTATTTGTGCAGATAAACACCTCTGCCATGTAACCTTGCTACACAACATATGGCATTTATCATA